ACTCTCGGGTTTCAAGGTTTCCTGGGAGGACGACGTGGAGAGTGGAGACAAAGATGCTGAAAAGCCGGGAAATCGCAGGCTCGGAAGCTCCCACAGGCACAGCCTGCTAACGCAGCCCCGCTCGGGGCCACGGCGAGACGAATCCGGACCCTTGCAGGCTGCCTACGGCTGGGGAAGCCAGCCGCCGGTCTGGGCAGCTCCCGCGAGAAGACTCTGTCCCTAGGGATCTTGGGGGCTGCAGACGCTTCTGAGGAGCCCTCAGCCCGAGGCGGAAGAGCCCGGCGGGCTCGGCAGCCACGTGACTGTGCGTCTGCGGCGCCTATTGGCTGTGCGCTCACTGGCCACGCCCTAAGAGCCGGGCTCCAGCTCCAGGGGGCGGTGCTGCAGCGGTTGCCATGGCGTCTTCCGAGCGCGCAGGCGTGGGCTTAGGGTCGCTTTTCGGGCGCTAGCTACTGGCTCTCCGGTTGGCGGGTCACCTTTGCTTGCTGATCTTCGTGCCCTGAGTCCTTTGGTCTCCAGCAACTTGCAGGGCAGCCGTCCCGCATGGGGCCCTTCAGTGAATGCCCTAAAACTCCGGAGTCGCTGCAGGAAAGCAGGCTTGGCCGGAGGGGGCACGTCCTTGCCGCCCGTGTCGTCGTGGTGCCTTGAGGGGACCCTTCTGGGAAGATCCTTGCAGAGGCCATGTCCCCTCTCCACGGCATCTAAGCCCAGTCCCGACTTGCTTTTCACGCCTGTCCCCCTGGGGAATGTCTACTGGACCTCAGGACAACCCGTCACCCCACCCCGTGCATCCCCAAGGTGGATCTGCAGCGAAACCTCTGTGGTGACTCACAGTTGCGGATTAGTTATCCCCTTCCCGGAAGAAGGTGGCAGGCTGATGCTGGCCTCATTCTTGTGTGTCTGACAAGTCACAAATGTGAATTCACATCGTCACAGCTGAGTCATGCTCAGGATTTCCATGAGCCCTGCTGGGGTGTCCAGCTGAGCTCCCTTCCCCACAGCCTCCTCCAGCTCTGCAGCACCAGGCACCAGTGTGACTCATGGAGGCCTGTGGAAGCCGGGGCTGCTCAGCGAGGCGGAGTCTAGGAGTGGGAGAAAGAGGGAGCCCATCAACAATTACAGTGCAAACGCTGCAGCTGCCACCCCTGAGAGTCTCCAGTTAGGAATTGGTTTGTGAAGTTCATTACCCTATGAGATGAGTTTTATCTCTGTTTCACTCAAGAGGATTCTGAGGCTCAGGAGGTTGTGAATGACTCGGGGCAGTACAGCTGGTAGGTGGCAGAGTTGGAATTTGAATACAGGTCGTTCTGACCCAGGAGTTCAGGCTTTTTCCCAGCCCAGCCTTTCCACTCGACCCCAATTAGCACAGTCAGATGCCGGGTGCCTGAGCTATTTACTTTGCCTGCGGGACTCCAGGAGCTGGCTCCTAATGACTCCATTTGAAATGGTCTTTTAGGCAAAGGAGACTAGATAAATGTGGAGGAGAGGGAAAGAATTTCTGGCAAAGGGAACAGTACGTGCGAAGACGCTACAGAAGAGCAAGGCTTATTATTCCAGTGCACTTCCAAACCCAGGCATGGTGTTCTTCCTTCCTGCGCCTTTTACATCCCCAGCCATTGCTTGGCGTCACCTGGTTGTCCTGTGGGCACCTGAAGCTCAGTGTTTCCCAGGCTGAACACTTGTCTTTTGTTGCCACATCTGCCTGCCCTGAGTGAGTATTCGTCCATCCTGATGTTCTTGCAGGGACCCAGGCGATGAAGACCAGGTTGTCTCTTGTTAACTTAAAAATCACACAATCTACAAACTTAGACAAGGAGACTTTCGGGTTTTTTGTTTTGTTTTGTTTTTCTTTCTTTTTTTTTTTTTTTTTTTTTTTTTTTAGACAAAGTCTCTCTCTTTTGCCCAGGCTGGAGTGCGGTGGTGCGATCTTGGCTTACTGCAACCTCTGCCTCCCAATACGAGGGATTCTTATGCCTCAGCCTCCCGAGTAGTTAGGATTCCAGGAGCACACCACCATGCCGGGCTAATTTTTGTATTTTAGTAGAGATGGGGTTTCACTTTTTTTTTTTTTTTTAATAGAGACAGTGTTACTGTTGGAGGGTGTTCAGGTTCTTGTCATCTTGTACAAAGAATTGGGCAAAATGCACAAACACAGCAAGGAAAGAATGAAGCAACAAAAGCAGAGATTTATTGAAAATGAAAGTACACTCCACAGGGTGAGATTGGAGCACAGGGGCTCAGGAGCCTGGTTACAGAATTTTCTGGGGTTTAAATACCCTCTAGAGGTTTCCCATTGGCCACTTACTGTACACCCCATGTAAATGAAGTAGTGGCTTGCATTCTGTCTGATTGATTGCAGAAAGCAACCAACCAGAGGATGAAGTGAGGTTACAAAAGTTATACCCTATGCAAACGTCTGACTTGTTGTGGAAAGCAACCAATCAGAGGCTAAAGTGAAGTTATGAAGTTACACTTCTATGCAAACAAAGAGCCTGCAATCAATCTGATTGGTTGCGGAAAGTGGGAATGGGGGTAGGATTTGCAAAGGGAGTAGCCTCTTGTCCTTTTGTTACTTAGTTGTGGAAAGTTGGGGTTTTTCTTTTGGTTTAGTTCTGGGAAGTCAGCATGAATTGGCTTTAGGTTCCTTGTTTCTAGACTCCATCCACCTGCCTCAGTGGGGTCTTACTATGTTGGCTGGGTTGGTCTTGAACTCTTGGCCTCAAGCAGTCCTCCTGTCTTGGCCTCCCAAAGGGCTAGTATTATAGGTGGGAGCCCCCATGTCTGCTGAGGAGACTTTATTTCTTATAAGGGGTTACAGCCTGCAGGGTGGCCATCCCATAGGCTGGGAAGAGCCTCCAGCAAAGACTGGAGACTGGCCCTCTGGGTGAAAAAGGGGTAAGTCAGGAATTTAAGTTGAACACATTGACCAAATGTACATATTCAGCAGGTCATCAGAGGAACTGTGAGTATTCAAGAAGGGGGTCCTGACACATGCATATTGAACAAACATGCATGTAACATACAACCCATGTTCACTTGAGGTGGAAACTTAACATTTGAATGTATTATAGTTAGGCCTTATATGTCAAGAGATCCTTTTAGGACATGAAAGCACTTAAGTGTGCAGCCTCTGTAAACTGACCAGGACTAGTTCATGATTGGTGGTCTCTTGTCTAGAGAAAGTTACTGACATCAGTCTCTTGTGCAATCAAAGCTGTAGTTATGGCTGGTCAGTTAGTCTGTGCGTATCTGCATGAACTGCAAAAATTGTTTTAATATTGCTTATCTTGAGACCAGTGCTTATTTAGGTGATAGAAAAAAAGAAAAACCCTGTGGCTGTTAGAACATAATTTATTCTTTTTTTTTTTTTTTGAGACGGAGTTTCACTTTTGTTACCCAGGCTGGAGTGCAATGGCATGATCTCGGCTCACCGCAACCTCCGCCTCCTGGGTTCAGGCAATTCTCCTGCCTCAACTTCCTGAGTAGCTGGGATTACAGGCACGCACCACCATGCCTAATGTTTTGTATTTTTAGTAGAGATGGATTTTCACCATGTTGACCAGGATGGTCTCGATTCCTTGACCTCATGATCCACCTGCCTCAGCCTCCCAAAGTGCTAGGATTACAGGCTTGAGCCACTGTGCCTGGCCAGAATTTATTCTTTAAGTGTAGGGGTGAGTGACTCAACCCTTGCCTGGTGTAAGGAACATGGCTTTGCTTTGATCAAGGATAGGCTGAAATAGGATGTTTACATCCTGCATGACTCAGTGAGTATAGAGCGCAGGTGTATAACTCTGTTATCCCATCCGTGGAACCATAACATGGGAAGGCCATCTCTTGGCACTAAGCTACTATTATCTATAAAAGGTATAATGTACAGGTGCTGGTGCCCAGAGAAAGAGAGAGAGCCAGAGCTGTCCATCTTTGCATGGACAGAGGGGAGCCAGGACACAACTCGGCTCACTTGTGCCCAGAGAGAGACAGAGTTAAGCTGGCAACCCTGAAGGCAAGGGAGAGCTGGCTGTGCAGCTGTGTGTGTGGGAGCCACCAGACTAAGCAGTTGAGACAGGGCAGTCAATGTGAGAAAGCTATTGGTGAAAACTGCTGCTGAATAAAACCATATTCACCTGACTACAGCCCCCTGAGTCTTCTTTCTGCTCATCTACCCACTCCCTTTGGACCTCAGCATGGGCTAGAACCTGGCCCTGAGAGTGACTTTTGCCGTAGTCACGAACCTGACCCATGGCATGGCCGTAGGTCTTATTTATAGTTTGGTATCTTATTGTCAGTCTTTTGTCAGTCTTATGATCTCGATTTTAGCATTAATGCTCATCAGCTGTGTCTAAACCACAAAAGGAAAAGGGTATAACAAGGCCTGTCTGACCTCCCATCCTGTCATGGCTGGGAACTCAGTTTTTAAGACTTTTCTGGGGTCCCATTGGCCAAGAGAGGGCTCGTTCAATTTGTGGAGGGGAGCTTAGGATTGTATTTTTAGTTTATACTCACAAGCTCCCTCTCACATCAGATTGTATGGAAACAGCCTTTTCATGTATTTTGTCCAGTAATTAATTTTTAATTTTTTATTTTTTTGCAGCAGATAGGCTCTTCCGGTTTTCCATCAAGGCCAGAAGCATAATTTGATGACAACATTCTTTTTTTTTTTTCTTGAGATGGCGTCTCGCTCTGTCACCCATACTGGAGGGCAGTGGCATGATCTCGGCTCACGGCAACCTCCATCTACTGGGTTAAAGTGATTCTCCTGCCTCAGTCTCCCGAGTAATTGGGATTATAGATGCATGCCATCACGGCCAGCTAATTTTTGTACTTTACTTAGTAGAGACAGGGTTTCACCATGTTACCCAGGTTGGTCTTGAACTTCTGAGCTCAGACGATTCACCCACCTCAGCTTCCCAAAGTGCTGGATTACAGGTGTGAGTCACTGCCCCTGGCCAATGACAGCATTCTTTTTTATCATTTTCTTTTTTGCTGTTCAGACACTGTTAATGGCTTGTAGTTTCCTATGATACTAATGAGGCAGGCTAGTTTATGACTGTTTTGTTCTCTTTTTTCTATCTCCTCCCGTGCGCCCTCTGAGCAGATAGCAGTACTCGTCACATGTGCTTGCTTCAGGAAACTGGTTGAAGACCACCCTTCCTCCAGCCTTGTGTGAGTCTGAACTTGTTGAAGAGATTTTGTCACAAGTTTAGTGGTGGGGGAAGGGCAAAAAGAGTGCTTTTGAGGTTTAAGAAGGAGAAGAAGATACTTTAGAACCGACTCTCACACCTCCTGCTCCCAGCAGGGCCTTGAGGGTGTGGTGAGACCCAGAAGGAAGGATGAAGGGAGGCTCGTGTTGGGTCAGCCTGGACTACCTCCTGGTGTGCTGATATGGTTTGAATCTGTGTCCTCATCCAAATCTCATATTGAAATATCATCCCCAATGCTGGAGGTGGGCCTGGAGGGAGGTGTTTGGATCATGGGGGCAGATTCTCATGGTTTAGCACCATCCCCCCTTAGTGCTGTGTCACTAGTGAGTTCTCACGTGATCTGGTTGTTTAAAACTCTGTGGCACCTCCCCCTACTCTTTCTTGCTCCTGCTCTGGCCATGTGATGCACCTGCTTCCCCTCTGCCCTCTGCCACAATTACAAGCTTCCTGAGGCCTCCCTAGAAGCTGAGCAGAAGCCAGAACCATGCTTCCTATACAGTCTGTGGAACTGTGAGCCAATTAAATCTGTTTTCTTGCTTTTTTTTTTTTTTCTTAGACAGAGTCTCACTCTATAGCCCAGGCTGGAGTGGTGGCAGGTCTTGGCTCACTGCAACCTCCACCTTCTGGGTTCAAGAGATTCTCCTGCCTCAGCCTCCCAAGTAGCTGGGATTACAGGCATACACCACCATGCCAGCTAATTTTTGTATTTTTTTTTAAAGTAGAGATGGGGTTTCACTATGTTGGCCAGGCTGGTCTCTAACTCCTGACCTCAGGTGATCCACCCACCTTTGGCCTCCCAGGGTGCTGGGATTACAGGCATGAGCCACCGCACCTGGCCTTAAACATTTTTTCTTTATAAATTACCCAGTCTTAGGAATTTCTTTTTTTTTTGATACGGAGTCTCACTCTGGCTCCCAGGCTGGAGTGCAGTGGCATAACCTTGGCTCACTGCAACCTCCGCCTCCTGGGTTCAAGCAGTTCTCATGCCTCAGCTGCCAGGTATTTCTTCATAGCAGCGTGAGAATGGACTGATACAGATGCTTAGGGTACCAGCAAGACAAGACCACTAAGGCATGAGAAGGCAATTTTCAGAGTTGGTTAAAGAATATTTGGTAAATATACATGATGGAGTACTACGCAGCCATAAAAAGAATGAAATCCTGCCATTTGGGACAACAGGAATGAATCACCATGTTCAGTGAAATAAGCCAGACACAGAAGACAGGCACTGCATGACCTCGCTCGGCGTTAAAAAAAAAGTTGCAATCATAGAAGCAGAGAGTAGAGAGATGGTTACCAAGGGCTGCGGAGGGGAAGAGGAAGGGAGGGTAGGGCGAAGTTGGTCAGGAGTTAGGAGGAAAATATTCTGGGGATTTACTGCACAATAGGGTGGCTATGGTTAACAGAAAAATATTGCATATTACAAAATAGCTAGAAGTTTTTAATATTCTCATCACAAAGAAATGATAAATGCATGAGGTATTAGACGCACTAAGTACCATGCAACATGGATTTATATTAAAACATGAGATGGTATCCCACAAACATTTACAATGACAATATGGTGATTAAAATACAAAAAGTATTTTAAAATATCAGAATTAATTTGATATTCAAAATAAAATTCAGAGTTGTCATTAGAAAAAAATCTGAATTTTGTTGGATTTTCCTGACATGTATTTATTATTATTTTTATTTGAAGTACCTATGGTTGGACACTGCAATCTCTCCAGGGCTCTGCACCCCTGAAGACCTTAGCTCGTGGTCTGGACTGTGTCCCCCAGGAGAATTGTCTTGGCTGTGCTCCCAGGCCTCACTTACTTGTTTGCAAGGAGAATCATTAGACTTTATGAAACCCTCTGTTTAGTTTTCCTCCTACCTAGCTAACATCTAAGGTGTTACCTATTCCAGTTTTTTTTTTAAACTCAGGTATAGATTTTATTTCCAGGTGATATTTCACAGGCTGAAAAGCACTGCTAATGAACACAGGAATTCCTCAGTCTTACTTAGTCCATCCATCCCTTTAACATGGGATATTTCAAAGGCAGCACTGCACTCAGGGGATGATGGAATCCCATCGTTCTGTAATCCCAGCTACTGGGGAGGCTGAGGCAGGAGAACTGCTTGAATGCAGGAGGTGAAGGTTGCAGTGAGCTGAGATCACACCACTGCACTCCAGCTTGGGTGACAGACTGAGATTCCATCTCAATTAAAAAAAAAAAATAGAAATAAAACCAATGCCAGATGGTTGAAATTCTTTTGAGATAGAAGGGGGGAGTCGACTCCAGAGGCAGGGCTCAGACACCGGACCAAATTGAGGACTAGCTAAAACGACTAGCTAAAAGACTTGAGTCAGGAAAGCCTTGACATTGCAAACTCTATGGCACAACTGCATAAAAACTTGCTTCCAGCACTGCTTGAATTTTCTCGCAGGACTAACTATCTGCTCACTCTGTCTGCCCTGTCTCGTTCCTGAACAGATCCTGACCTTCTCTCCAAATTACATCTCTCAGGGAGCAGCCACCCTGCCCTGCTTGTTCCGGTTCTGTTCTTGTGATCCTCACTTCTGAGAGGTCTCCATGACCATAAATCACAGATATTTCTTTCCCTTTATGGGTCACACCTGGGTATGTAAATATCACATGCAGTCTGGGGCTGAGCATCTGAACATTGGAAATCCTGTGATCCAAACTCTGTTTGGTACCTTTCATGCATTCTCTCTTTCCAGCAGTTTCAAACTTCTCTGGAAATGGAGTTTTTCCCATAATCCACCATCCCGTATCTGCAATCTTAAAATCCAAAAGGCTCTGAAAACAGAAAAGGTTCATAACTTTGCAGCAAACTCACCTGGTAGCAAAAACTTGATCTGAACTGGGGCTGTTTATAGTCTTTATCCTGCTAAGTGTGATATTTGTGTTTTGCTTTGGAAATGCAAATGTGTTTGACTACAGGGTGCTACTTGTAGACATCACTGGGGCTGCTATGAGGTATGAGGCCTGCGCACTGTATTAGCTTTTTGAAATCCAGTGCTTAATAAATCACAAAACACCCCAGTGGTTTCAGATGAGGGATTTTGGAGCTGTGCTGCTTTTCTGTCTCTAGCACATGCAGGGTACAGAGACCGTGATTTTGTGGGCTCCATGAAGGCACGGATCACACAGCTTTGGGACCAAAGCTGTGCCTGATGTGACACAGGTCTCCATAAAGGTTTGCCAAACAGGCAAGCGGGTGCTTACAATTTCCCATGACTGCCACTGAGATTACGTGTGCCTAAATAACTTGCCCGTCACTTAAGAGAGACCCTGTAAATGTCCTTTGATCAATTTATGCCCTGAGACTGTTGTCGACATTGTCGTTATTGTCATGTTCTCAAATATTTTTGCCTGAAGAGTTTTCCTGTCTGAGGACTTTTCACATGTAGAGGAATTACTTCTCGTTCTTCCTGTTGAAATTACTCTCAAATCTTTTCTGTCAGAGTTGCAAACACACTGACAGCTCCTGAATGATCTGATACAGGATCCTTAATAGGTGTGGAAGTGTTCGCCAGACAGAGAGGTCCTGCCCTTGCCGATCCCAGCTGGTTCTGTGTTAGAGACTCCGTGGGCGTCTGTTTGACAGTACCTGCCAGGAGTTGCAGAATAACTTTTCTGATCTGGAAGAGCAAATCTCAGATATTTTGCACATTCACAAGTATTTTAAAACAGTTTCTGTAAGATGCCAACATCACCTTTATAGTATTTTGAGGTTTTCCAGTGTTTACTGAGAAGAGCTCAGTTGTGTTTATACCGAATTTCAGGTGAGTTTCTTGACCACCCTTCTCACTTTACCACCAGCTTTGCTCTGGGCCCCTAACTGTATCGCCCGAGGATCCCGTGGATTCAGGTGACTGGTGCCCTTCAGGTTTCATTTGCGAGGACCCATCTTCTTCCTGGGATTTTGGCTGGTGTCTTTCTTCTGCTAAACCAGATTTGCTACTTCCTTTAAGATTCCATTCAAAACTCTCTCTTCTCAGGAACCTTTCCTGAAAACCCAACTCCCTATGCTGATTTGCTGATTTTTTCCTCATGATCCTTCCCTATGCCCTTGGTAAAATGAAGTTTGACAAACACAACTCTATGGCAATGAACATTTGCATTCATATAACTTTTCTCTTCTCTTTTTTTTTTTTTTGGAGATGAAGTCTCTGTCAGCCAGGCTAGAGTGCAGTGGCGTGATCTTGGCTCACTGCAACTTCTGCCTCCTGGGTTCAAGTGATTCTCCTGCCTCACCCTCCCAAGTAGCTGACACTGCAGGTGCATGCCATCACGCCTAGCTAATTTTTTGTATTTTAATAGAGACGGGGTTTCACTGTGTTGCCCAGGCTCATCTCGAGCTCCTGAGCTCAGGCAATCTGCCCGCCTCAGCCTCCCAAAGTGCTACGATTATAGGTGTGAGCCACCGTGCCCGGCTTCTTCTCTTGAATCATTTGCTTAATCTCCCAGGAGTGAGTTTACTGGATGAAAGCATGCAGACTTTTTTTTTTTTGGAGATTGGGTCTTGTTCTGTCACCCAGGCTGGAGTGCAGTGGCACGATCATAACTCCCTACAGACTTGACCTCTGGCCTCAAGCAGTCCTCCCACCTCAGCCTCCTTAGTAACCAGGATTACAGGCACACACCACCACACTGGGCTTATTTTTGTATTTTTTGTAGAGACAGGGTTTCCCTATATTGCCCAGACTGGTCTTGAACTCTTGGGCTCAAGTGATCTGCCTGACGCAGCCTCCCAAAGTGCTGGGATTACAGGCATGAGCCACCTTGCCTGGTCTCATTTAGACAGTTTTGTTGCTGATATATTTTAATAATTTCTTAATTTCCTTCTCTTTATTCATATCCTGTATTTGGTGAGACATAGGTCTCGTACTTTCCTTTATTTCTTTAGATCTGGCTTTCTTTAATTCTTTGAACATACAGTTGTCCTTTGGTATCTGTAGGGAATGGGTTCCAGAACCCCTGGGGATACCAAAATCTGTAGATGCTTGAAGTCCAATAGCTGACTCTCAGTATCTGCGGATTCAACCAATCGTGGATTGAAAATCGCAATGCAGGAATGTGGATAGGAGGGCTGACCATACATGTGATATTTGTAATAGCTGACTTGATATCGGCTCACTGCAACCTCCTCCTCTCGGATTCAACCGATTCTCCTGCCTCAGCCTCCTGAGTGGCTGGGACTACAGGCATGTACCACCACGCCCAGCTAATTTTTGTATTTTTAGTAGAGACGGGGTTTATCATGTTGGCCAGATGGTCTTAATCTCTTGACGTTGTGACCTGCCTGTCTTGGCCTCCCAAAGTGCTGGGATTACAGGTGTGAGCCACTGTGCCTGACTGGTTTGTAGTTTTTTTTATTGAATGCTGCAGTCTATGTGTAGCATAGCAATGGAGACTGAAAGAAATGCTAATTTTTCTAGGAAGTGCTTGCCCTTTTGAGTGGCAGGTATCTTGGATTAGGATCTTATCTCTTCAATCTAATAATTATTGAATTGAATTAGAGTTGAGGTTGCCACTCCAATTAATTTAGTTCACCTCTGGTTTCAAATATCTTGACTGTGAGATCACCCTCTCTCCAGCAGGGCTGTGAAATCTAAGCACCATGATATGACACCACAACATTTCCCTCTGCTTTTCTGTGTCATCTCCTGACTTCTTGGACACCGTTTATTCAATAAATTGCTATGGGAGAGAGTTGGAAGACAGACAGAGATGTCCAGTGCTGTATTTGGGATTCTTCCAGGTTCAAGTCTAATACCAGCTGTTAAATTTCCGGTTCGTTTCTCCTTATTCTCTCAAATTTTCTTTGCCTGTAGAAAACTTGATTTTCTGTTCATGTACGACCCCATGCTTGAAACTTACCACAGGAATGGACCACTGGTTTGCTCACCTGACATGGGCTCATCCATCTCTGGAATGTAGTTTATTTGGACTTTGAATCTGTAGGTTTTAAAGAAAAAGACAGTTTAATAGCTCACCAGTGCTTTATCCTTGCTCTGCTGAAGTGGTGGTTTGTGATCTTTCACATCCTAACCAGAAGTTGAAAAACTTAATATCTTTTAAATTTTGTAAAATCTTTTTTTTTTTTCATTTTTACATTTTATATTTCTTTTAAGGCATTATTTGTTTTGTTTATTGGCGCTCATGTCCCTTCTAATTTAGTTTTTTTTTTTTGAAAAATTTCCTTTGTACTTCAAATTCTGTTTTGTGTTCTGTCATCTTCATCTGTCTTTCAAATCTTGTATTTCTCAATATTTCTAATTATGCCTTAAATGATACTTTGAGATACTTTAATGACATCTATCATTTTCTTAATTCTTTTTACCTCATTTCAAATATTAGGTTACATTTTCATCTTCATTGCATGTATACCTCTCTGTTGTATTTTAATTGTAGGGCCAATATTGTGTTATTATTCTGCTTTCTCTCATAATAACTTTATATTAGATTTGGCTAGCATCCATTTTATTGCCTTTTTAAGCAATAATAAAGAAGTGAAATGAGTTTTTTTTTGTTCATAGAATGAGGTATAGGTCAAGTTTGGAATGTAGACCCAAACTTCATGGGTCTACACTCCCTCTTCTGTTGTTTTTGCAAAATGATTTCAAAAATACTTCCTTTTATTTTCTGAGATCTGACATCCTGATCCCATTCCTTATTTTTGTCGGACTCATTTCTCTAATCTGAACATTTTGTTTGCTAGCTTTGAAGACTTATAGACCGCTTCACTGTGGTCAGAATAGTATCGTGCTCTCCTTGCACCCACCCAGGAACTGAACCGGTAGGGCCATTCCTCAGCCTGCCACTCTTGGATTGGAACTCTATGCTTTCAGTGAACACAGGTCAGCAGTGCTGTGTTTTCCTGTCCTCTGGACTGCTGGGATCCCCAGTGACTTCCCCGACGTCCCAGTTGTTTCCCCTACACAGATCCTCATGCCACGCGGCCCCTGCAGCTGTTCGTGGTTTGTGCCGCACACTCTTACTGTGAGATTCTTTGGGATTCCTGGTCATTGATTTTGTTGTAGAGATACAAAGTCTTTGATTTTGATATGCTAGTTATTCAGCCTGTTTTTATGGGGAAATTTGAGGAGATTAAATTAGTATTCCCTATAATCTCCCAATAATCCTTATCATAATTATGTTCAAAGACTATAGAATAAAAATAGTTTACTGATTATCCACCTCTGGTGCCAGTCAACTGAGGTATTTCTGAAAAGGATGATTCTCTCCCAGTTTGGTGGCTAGACAAGGTCATTCAACATCTATGGCTGTTTGCCAAGATATGACTCTTTGCAAAGACCCCTAAAACCCTGATCTGGTTCCTCGACACCTTGAATTTTCTCTGTCAAGGGCTGAATTGTGTCCACGAAAGGTCATCTGCTGAAGTCCTAACCCCCAGCACCTCAGAATGTGACTGGATTGGGAGATAGGGCCCTTAAAGGGGTGACTGAGGTTAAATGAGGTCACAGGGATGGAATCTAATTTAAACTGACCGGCATCCTTGTAAGGAGAGGAGATTAGGACACAAACAGCATAAAAGAAAGACCCCATGTAGACACAGGAGAAGATGCCATCTGCAAGCCAAGAGGGGGCTTCAGAATGAAACCCACACTACAGGCACCTTGGTCTTGGACTTTCGGCCTCCAGAACTGTGAGAAAATAAATGTCTGTTGTTTATGCCACCCAGTCTGTGATACTTTGTTATGACAGCCCCAGCAAATGAATTCTGTCTCTCTCTCTCTCTCTCTCTCTCTCTCACACACACACACACACACAGCTCATGAGACTCAGGATCTCTTTCTAGTCGACCAAACCCTACTAGAACGACTACACCAGGACCCTTGTTTCACTCTTGATATGTAAGAATAGCTTCGTAGATCTACTTCTTTAAAAACATGTTTTGTGTAAAGAATAAGGAAGAATAAGGTAGAGTGATTTTTATTTTATTTTATTTTTGTTATTTTGGCACAGGCACGAACAAGACCAGGAAGTGATTGGCCTTTTATCTGTTTTCTTATCTGTTTATATTATGGCTGTATCTAAAAGTGTTTAAATTACACTAAATATTTTTTTCTCTGTCTTTCTCTGAGTTTTACACCAAAGGTTTTCTGGACAGGGAGCATGGTGGAAACCAGACTTCATTGGCAGAAAGAGATAGTTCAAACCTTTGTCTGCTGCTTGCTCTTGGACGTTGGGCAAGGCATCTGACATGTCTGAGCCCTTGCTTCCTCATTTGTAACGGGGAAATGATGCCCTTCTCAAAGGATAGTCATGAGGGTTACATGAGATAAAGCTGTAATTTGCTTTCTGGCCCATAACAGACCCCAAATAAATGCTATTTTCCATTTCTTCTCTTCCTTCTCCCAACCCATAGTTAGCCAGAAAAAAAACCAATTATGAACCAAAGAAAATTCCAGTTCATTGAATCTCTGTTTACATTTATGTAAATTTGAAGCACATGACTCACTGCACTCCCAAATTGGCGTCCTCAGCAGGAGTTCAAAGAGGTGCTGCTTCCAGACTCAGGAAATACATCAGCCGGCTGGTCCACGGACAGCCTCTGAGCATGGGACCCTCTCCAGACACAGAGGCTGTTTGAAGAATTCTATAGGCATTGCATTTATTGGGCAACTGGCAAGCTGGTGTCCCACCTAGTGGTCAGTGGGAGGTAGCCTATTTCAAAAAGAGATGAGAAGACATTTCATAATGTCTTCTTCTGGGCAAAGCCTGGAGAACTGTGTCAGCTCACCCCATTCTCTCCATTTCCAAAGGCCTGGGCACGTACAGTACAAGGGTGAGAATGACAGGTGCAGCATGTAACGTCCCCTGGCAATGGGAATGGGGCTGGTGAGAGTCACTCTCCTTGGAGAGACAAAGAAAGTCGTGAGATTAAGAGGCATACCTTTGAATGGCTTCCCTAAAATATAAAATATTTCAGATACACAGAAACGTTTATAACACAACACATTCCCCACCCAGCGCTCTTGAGTGCTAACATTTTGTCACACTTGCTTTCTATTTCGTTAAGAAGTAAAACAGGCGAGGTGTGGTGGCTCACGCCTGTAATCCCAGCACTTTGGGAGGTCGAGGCCGGTGGAGCACAAGGTCACGTGTTCGAGACCAGCCTGGTCAATATGGTGAAACCCCGTCTCTACTGAAAATACAAAAATT